AGCAGACTGGGGCCACAAGAAGGCCTGTAGGCAGCCCCCCGACTCTTTTTTTTACCATCAAGATGTGGCACACGAGACAAGAGGGTGCCCTCGGGGTGGAGCTGGCACAGTTGCAAAGCCACCAGGGGCATCACCACCACCCCTTGGGACCTCAACCCATGACAGTAATGATATTGGAAACAAGATTATTGTGGCCATATCTTCTCTACAAAATATATTTTACTAATCCTTTGAATTGTCTATGTGAATGGGTTTTTTTTCTTACAAAACCTACAAAACATGATAATAAAACATTTGATATTTTTAAGTTACTTATCTTTCAATACACTTCAAGTAAATAAAAAGAGTTCTGATCACTTTTGTATAAGCAGCATACAGATGAAAGCAACAAGGTGCCAAAAAAGTCCAACTTGCATTGAAAATAATAAAAAAGGAAGGACCATCAGTATCTTGCCTATGCACTACACTGCCCATAGGGAAAGCTAATAAATAACAGAATGATTCCTTAGTTTTAACAGATTCTTCCAGACAAATATGTAAGGTTAAGTTTAAACCTTAGATTGAAAGAATGCCTACTAGATGTTTATACAGTATCATCTTCAGAATAATTAACTTATTATCCTTTTTTCTTCCAAGTGGATATTAAATAATTTTAAAGACTCTTGTTAAAGGTTTGATTTTATTTAATCAATTTATTCAAACTTACCTTTTTGGTTCTAGCAAATCATCAATTCCTTAATGATAATTCACTTTCATTCTAGCCTTGAAACTTCACCAGACAAGAAATTGTATGTTGATAGATTAGGTATCACAAAATGCATATATTATATTAATAAGACAATGAGATACATTTATTTAAATCTCTCAGGGTAGTTATATTCTCCATGAATACAGAGAGCCATCTCTCTCCATTTTTCAATGGTTAGACACATAATAGAAGTAAAATGTATGTTTAGGACATAAAACCTCATAAGTCACATATGGCTTTTCTGTTCAAATTACATATTTGGCATCAGAAAGTGCTATACAGTTAAATAAGTTATTTTCTTTTATGTTATTCTGAAGCAATGATATAGTAGGGATTAGATACATGCTCTAGGGCTTAGCTAGGAAATGTAATTAGGAACTCTATGAAATGATAAATGATGTAATTTTTAGATGTGACATTTAAAAACCTGTTACACAGAGGCGTTCCTCTAGAAATGGTACCTTTTGAATATCAAGGCAATGACAAAGTCAGGGTTTACTTTTATTCTCCAGTCACATTCCTTCCCAGGAGGATATGGCTGTGGGTAGTTAGGTGATAAAATAACACCCGCTGGGCCTGTCAGGTTCCCTCCACATGCAGCTGTCACAACACAGAAAGAAAAAGTAAGTGGTCACATGTTTGACTGAAAAATGAGGGAAGAACAGTTATGATAAAACAAATTGACTTTTATAATTTACTTTTTTAAATCAGCTGTTATATTTGTAGCTAATCTTTTCCCCCCCCCCTTTTGCAGTCTCACAAACAAATCCCATACACTTGAAACAACTGATCCCATTTTATACATTTATTTCACAGTTATCCAAAAGTCTGAAATTCCAACTGGTATGAGCCATGGATTCCCTTTCTTATTTAATTTCAGCTCCATTGCACTGAAAACATGTCCTATTTACCAGTGGCTCAGCAAGATTTTTCAGTACCTGGGGCAGAGGTAGGGGGAACAGAATCTTACCTTTCCCTGCTCTTTGTGCTTGGGTGGCAGCTGTTACACCTCTTGTAGCAGCATGGGCTTACACTTCTCTACCTGAAAGGTGGCTTCACCATATGCCCATGCAGCAACCCAGCTGGTATGGACTCCCTAGAGCTGATCTTGGTACACCATTCACTCCCTTCCCCCACAATCCCCAGATATGCTTTTGTGTGCCAGGATGCACAGAGAAGCCTGGTGTGGGAGTATTCTACTACTTTCACTCACTTTTCTCCCCAGCAGATGCACTACAGAGCATGGGGCTGCTAGTGCCCACCTCCCCATGGATGGACTGCTGCCCGTGATGGAGAAAGAGAGGGGGCCATACTGGCATCTGCCCTTAAGTTGGTGTCCAGGGATGCTGTCCCTTTGCCCTGTCCTAGTTATGCTACTTCTATTTACCAACCAACTTCTTTGTTAGAAGTGAAAAGACTTAAGAATAATCAAGTTTTAATTATGAAATTTTATTTTTGCCATATAAGAAATATAAAATATTTTGATTCAACTAACAAAGGTTTTACCCAATTTAGAGGCAATAACTTGGCATACATATTTAAGTCAAGTACCTAATTTATGTGCCCTATTTTAGCACCTCAATAAGAGGGCACATTTTCAGAAATGGTGGAAGCAACCTATAAGCTTGTTGAAATAATGCATAGGGTCAAACAGGTGTCTTCCTTTGATTAAAAACACAACAAACAAAATGGCACTTTTTTATAGATAATTACTCTAATCACAAATAATCAATGACTTTTGATGACTCAGCTGCGGTAACCATGACCATACTCAGGAAAGTTTTAAAGTATATATGCAGCAGAAAACATTAAATAAACATAAATAACTGATTGACAATGTTCAGTATCCTAATAAGGACAGCTATTAAATCTCAATCATCACAGTATAATAGAATAAGGACTTTATGAGAATTTTAAAAGTGACTTGTCATGGCTTTATAGAACCTCTGAGGATTCCTGTGTATATCACAATAAAGACTATTTTAAACTGCAAAGTCCTCTGAAGAACACTCTGAATACATGGAAAAATAAATGCGTGCTTTTCATTTCAATGCAATTACTCTCCTAGAAGATAAATTAAATTTTAAACTTTTTAAAGTACAAATTAAAACACATTTGTCAAAGTATTGGGTTTTATAAGAAGGTCACGGACACTCAGGAACATATGATCCTTATAATCCAGACTTCTACTAACCCTCTCTTTTCTTTATGATCTTTAATTTGGGTTGGATACACATCTTTGGAATTGCCATTTGATGGTCTTGGATGCAGCCACCAGATTTTCAAACTTGTCTGTATTCAGCACTGCATCTGGTATATGCTTCATCTGTGAAAGCAATCAGTCCCACCTATGATACTGTGAGAACCTCAAAACTAAGTGCCCTCAAAGCTACTTCAGTTCAGGTGATGGTTAACTCTGGGATGTGCTACCTGGTTTGTGTTAGGGTAACTTCAGTCTGTTCCATGAAGATAAAATGAGCAATCTGCGATCCTCCAGAATCCCAAGATGAACTGCTTCCAGCCCTACGCACCCAAAGCAGGGCTAGAGCCTAGATGCCTGCCCTGGCTTGCCAGCTCTCTAGTGGCAAGTCAGAGTTGTGCAGGAAAGAAATGGCATTAATAATTAAAATGCAACTGCTCACAGCAAGTTCTAACTTTAACAGCACTTACCATTCCACAGATTTAGTATGGTCTAAGGGAGCGGTGTCAAACAAATGGCCTGCAGGCCAGATCCACCATGTAGGTAGCTGGACCAGCCCCAGCCCTGCATGCTGCATGTGGTGCTTGGGTTGGAACCAATGTAGCATGAGCTGCAGGCAGCATAGGAAAGAGTAGAGGTAGAAGAGAAGGAGGGGCCATGCAGATTTTAGCCTAATTATTCAATGGTTAGGGCAGTTTCCCATGCAGCAGAAGACCCAAATTCTAGGTCCCACTTACCCAGAGAGGTTTGAATCCATATCTCCGGCTTCATAAAAAAGTGTTCTACCAACACATGCACAGAATGCTCTACATCCCTCCCCTTGAAGCTAGCTCACTCTGCATGTAATATTCATTGGATAAAATGGGAAATATTTTTTGCCTAAATGGTAGCAAGGGGCCAGGCTAGAACCTATAAGATTAAAGTCAAGATTCAGAAAAGTACTTAGACACCTAGGGCACGTCTACACGAGCACACATGTGCAGGGGCATGCACTTCCTATGGGACAAATAGCAGTAGTACAAGGTATGGGAGGCTGGAGCCAGCACCTGTGCTGGCTCCAGCCACCCTTACTTGGGATCCTGGGGGCCTCCCAGGGCAGCAGAGGTGCTGAGCTGTCCACTCGGAGCCTAACCAGCAGCCAGAGCCATGCTCTGGCCAGCCAGGCTCCAGTTTCTGTTGGTGCATGCTGCTGCTATGTGTGCCATGCCGCTTTTATTAGTGGTGGGTTTTTTTGACACTGGGATTTCCTGTTGTAAAAAAAAAAAAAAAAATCACTGCTGCTAATTAGCAGTGTGGTGCATAGGTGCCGTGTGTGGTTTACTGCACCTCAATTGGCTTTGAGGTGTTGTAAACCAAGTGTGTGCTTGTGGGGATGCTTTCCTAAAGTGCAACTGAGGCAGACATTAGGCACATAAGACCAAGTGAGCAATCGATGAAAAATCTGCCTAATCACTTAGGCACTTTGGAATCTGTAGGCACCTAAGTTTTTGGCAGTAAAATTAGTTAGGTGCCTAATGTTTGATATGACCAAAGGTGATGTCACATTAGGAGCTGATCATTTCAGCACTATATTATTCTTAATGCCATCTGAGATTTACTAACTGGATCTCCCCATACCTAGATCTCCTGAGGAACCCAAGCCAGCAGGCATACTTAACCCACACATAATGATGCTGACTTTAGCAAAAAGCACTGCATACAGGCTACTTTCACTCAAAAATGTGGTTAAAGTAGAGGTGGTGCTCACCTTTAAAGGACCAAGTTAGTGAGTACAGCAGTTATTCAAGAAATGGGAGATCTAAGTTTTTGGCCCTCTTCATCCTGAGGGGCTTCAAAAAACTTATCCCACATCTCTGAGGAGAGGGTCTTAATCAGCAGACTAAGGGCAAAACTGGGATGGGACTCATCCATTCTTCCAGTTCACACTGTGCCACTCTGGAGCCAATAATTCAACTTTCACTAGGCTGAGAATGACTTAAAAAGGGTAGACTCTAGCTTAACGATGAAGGCAATCTCTTAAAAGGTGTGAGACCTGAGTTGTGGGATTAAGAGACCGAGAATTACAGAAATTAATACTTCTGTAGGATCACAAACTGAAAACATATAAATGGTAATATGATCAGTAATTGACAAACCCTGACAACTCTAACAATTCATCTCAATACCTATGCACGTAGGAGGATCAGGTTGCCAAAAGAATCGGTTATTCAGCTGCACACAAGTAATTTTAGCCTGCCCTTGGAGCTGATATCCAGGGTCACATTGGAAGGTAGTGGTGTCCCCAGGTTCTCTGCTGTCTCCATATCTAGTACCATTCTGTGGAGTCCCAGGATCATTACACGTTGATGCTATTGATGCTGTAAACAAACCAAGAAATGAAAGGATTTAAGACATATGTACTGTATTGTCATAATCACACAGCACAGTCTATTTACAGGAATATCCAGACAGAAAATATTATTTACTAATTTATTAGCATGGAAATTAGAGTGGGGGGGTTGTTTTTTCTTCAGGAATTTGCCAACTAAGACACATCATTTTTACATTGTCTTCCTACCAGTTACCTTTGGTCAAAAATATGGCCTGCTAGGGAATAAACTCAAGCTCTTCATTTCCTGTCCAGCTAATCTATCAAAACACTAATGATTTATTTTTTTCATCTTGATGTTTCTTGAATCAACACACATTTCTTTACGCAATATGACAGCTTCTGTACTATAAGACAAATGTCATAAAGTAGATAACATGTTACACTCAGTATATCTCAGAGCACAGAAATGCTACACATACAGCAAATCAAACCAAACTTCCTCTGTGTGCAAGCCTGGGTTTCTCATTATAATGGTATCCCCTGAGGAGCCAGATTACACCATCTCATGTTAGGGTCAATATTTGAAGGAACAGTATAAAATATATAGGGAGAACATCCAGGTCAGCATCAAATGTACAGGTTTAACAACTCTTCTCTCACACTGGCATCATCACCACCACCACAACCAGAGTACCTAGGACAGGACAGTCCTTATTCTGTATGTACTTTCTGCTTCTTCTCCACCTTTTATGAATAATACATATTGAGAAGCTGGATACCTTCAAGTCAGCTGGCCCTGACAATCTTCACCCCAGGGTACTCAAGGAGCTGGCGAGCATCATAGCCCAGCCTCTAGCACGGATCTTTGAAAACTCTTGGCGCTCTGGTGTAGTACCCGAAGACTGGAAGAAGGCCAATGTGGTGCCTATCTTCAAGAAAGGGAGGAAAGTGGATCCGGCTAACTATAGGCCCATCAGCCTGACTTCTATCCTGGGGAAGATCTTAGAAGAGTTTATTAAAGAGGCCATCCTTAATGGACTGGCCGACACCAACATCTTAAGGGATAGCCAGCACGGGTTTGTTGCGGGTAGGTCTTGCTTGACCAATCTCATTTCCTTCTACGACCAGGTGACCTATCACCTGGACAAGGGAGAAGAGATTGATGTCATATATCTTGACTTCAAAAAAGCCTTCGATCTGGTGTCCCATGATCGCCTCTTGGAGAAACTGGCCAATTGTCGCCTTGGGTCCTCCACGATCCGCTGGCTGGAAAATTGGCTCCAGGGTCGGACCCAGAGGGTAGTAATCGATGGAAGTCACTCATCGTGGTGTCCTGTGACCAGTGGGGTCCCCCAAGGCTCTGTCCTTGGACCCATACTGTTCAACATCTTCATTAATGATGTGGACACTGGAGTCAGAAGCGGACTGGCCAAGTTCGCCGATGACACCAAACTTTGGGGCAAAGCATCCACACCAGAAGACAGGCAGGTTATCCAGGCTGACCTGGACAGGCTCAGCAAGTGGGCGGACGAGAATCTGATGGTGTTCAACGCCGATAAATGCAAGGTTCTCCACCTTGGGAAGAAAAACCCTCAGCATCCTTATAGGCTCAGCAGTGCTATGTTGGCTAGCACTATGGAAGAAAGAGACTTGGGGGTCATCTTTGACCACAAGATGAACATGAGCCTGCAATGCGATGCGGCGGCTAGTAAAGCGACCAAAATGCTGGCTTGCATCCATAGATGCTTCTCAAGCAAATCCCGGGACGTCATTCTCCCCCTGTACTCGGCCTTAGTGAGGCCGCAGCTGGAGTACTGTGTCCAGTTTTGGGCTCCACAATTCAAAAAGGATGTGGAGAAGCTTGAGAGAGTCCAGAGAAGAGCCACGTGCATGATCAGAGGTCAGGGAAGCAGACCCTACGATGACAGGCTGAGAGCCCTGGGGCTCTTTAGCCTGAAAAAGCGCAGGCTTAGGGGTGATCTGATGGCCACCTACAAGTTTATCAGGGGTGACCACCAGCATCTGGGGGAACGTTTGTTCACCAGAGCGCCCCAAGGGATGACGAAGTCGAATGGTCACAAACTACTTCAAGATCGTTTCAGGCTGGACATAAGGAAGATCTTCTTTACTGTCCGAGCCCCCAAGGTCTGGAACAGCCTGCCACCGGAGGTGGTTCAAGCGCCTTCATTGAACACCTTCAAGATGAAACTGGATGCTTATCTTGCTGGGATCCTATGACCCCAGCTGACTTCCTGCCCTTTGGGCGGGGGGCTGGACTCGATGATCTTCCGAGGTCCCTTCCAGCCCTGATGTGTATTAAATCTATGAAATCTATGAACAATGTGTCAAAACTGATTCACCATTTTTCTTACACTTTTTCTTCTCACTGCAAATGACATCTGTCTTGTTTTCTATAGCCATGTTTTGGCAAATTACCTGATCATTTTTTTAATGTCGCCTGGCACAGAATTTGAGGCTAGGGACAGACATTACATATAAACCAGGTTAAATGATCAGAAACTAGGGGTGTGCGAAATGGGCCATATTTGTTTCGGATTTGTTCTGAATCGGGGACAGCAATTTGATTTGTTGATTTGGACCACTGTCCCAATTCAATTTGGCCAAATCTGAATCTGAAGATTTGATGCTGATTCAGAGAATCAGCAATTCGGCCATAGACATAGCTTTAAATGTTTTTTCTACATACCTTGAGGTACCAGGCATAACTCATGAATGCTGCAATGCTGGGGCAGATGGAGTGTCCCACAGGAGCACAGGGGAGCCCCCTGCATGCTTGGCAGTGAATCTGGAAGTGGACTGGAAATAATTCTGGTCCACTTCCAGGTCCAGCGCTAAGTGTGCTGCCCCTTTCCCCCACCCCTGCACATCCCTGGCTCAGCTATCATCCACGGGGAGACCCCAGGTGTCCCCCCAGACCCAGGGGGCATGAGTCACCAAGCCAGGAATATGTGTCCGGGGGAGCCCAATGTGCTCCCCGGGGTACCTGGAAGTGAACTGTAAGTGCTTCTGGTCCACTTCTGGGTCTGCTGCCCAGTGTACTTGGGACCTCCCCCCCACCACTCCTGTGGGACACTCCATCTGCCCCAGCATCTCAGCATTCGTGAACTGCCTGGTACCTTGAGGTATGTAGAAAAAACATTTAAAGCTATGTCTATGTCTGAATTGTCGAATCTTTCTGAATCTCTCCAAATCAATTTGGAGTATTCTGATTTGATTTGGAGAGATTAAAGAGTCTCCTGATTCAATTCAGATTTGGAGATTTGGTCACTGAATCAGGCCAAATCTCCGCTGAATCAAATCAGTGATCGAAGCTTCGCACAACCCTATCAGAAACTGGTTTAAAACTGTAAGATAACTGACATTCAGTGCATATAAATCAGGTTCAAAATGGCCAAAACCAGTTTAAGATAAACCTGGTTCAATGTAGTATCAGACTTAACTGATTTGGGTCAGATTGGTTTATGCATTGTTTGTCTCAGACCCCTTTCTGGTTTAAGTTAAAGGAGACTCCCCCAGCATCCTGCCATGCTCTCTGGGCTGGGCTCTCTGCTCCAGCCCAGCCAGGATGGCTCTGCCCCTCTGCTCTCCAGATGGAGCAGAAATAGATAGGGGTGAGGGTTTAGCCAAGGAGGGATTTAATTCCCCGCTCCATATCCATTCGGCAGTTACCCAGACCAGGTCTGCCAGTTGCTCCCCCCTCCTGCGGCTCTAGCCAGCATAATGGCCCCTAAGGCAGAGGGGGGCAGAGAAGGGGGTCAGTCTCCCCTCCACCCCCACTGACATCCACATCTGCCCCCGCATCACTTCGAAGCTTGTTCCCTGTGGTGGAATAGGCCCCTGCTGTCCCCTTCACTGGACAATGGAGGGAGGAGGAATAAACCCATCCCTGCCCCTGAAGGGGCTCTATGGGCTGGCTGTGCCCCCATCAGACTACTGCAGTGGGAGGGGACAGGGCCCTTGGTGTGGCAGCATCCCATAATAGTCTGAGAGTGCATGGCCCTTCCTGGCAGGGGGCCCCACTGCGGGGCGGGCAGAGCTGTGGTGGACTGTGTGCAGCAGCACTGGGGCCCTAAGCTGTGGTGGACTGAGTATGGCAGCACCAGGGCCAGAGTGCCCCCCGCCCAGCACTGCCACCTTGCAACACTTTCCTTGCCCCCAGCACTTTCCTCGCCCTGCAGCGTGCAACCCCCCGCCATAAAAACAGGGCTTCTGTCCCATTCTGGTCACTTCCCCCTCACTGCTCCAGCAGCTGGCCAGCTGGGGGCATGACTGAATGCTGTGGTCTATGCAGATCTGGCCTGTGGAGGGGCTTTGTCTGGCCCCTGGTGGGTCCCTCAGTCCCACCAGGCCAAAGCGCCACGCATGCAGCTGGGGTGAGTCTGCTCCATGGTGGGACTCCCTTTCTTGGCAGCCTGGATACAGCAGCTCCTTTTCCTCTGCCAGTGTCCCCACTCCCCCAGTACAGGCGGGAACCAGCTCATGCAGTCTTGACCCTGTGCACCTCATGCCGGCTCTAGGCTTGCCTATCCAGGATGAGCAGCAGCGGTAGGGGAGAAACTGCTCCTCAACGCTGGGGAAAAAGCCCCTTCCTGTCCTGCTGCCGGTGCTTCCAAGTGCAGCTGCCTGGAGCCAGCACCAGGCTGCCCTGTGTCTCTGCCACATCACCACCATCTCTGGGCTCCCTGTTGGGCAGTGGTGCTAGCAGAGCAGACACAGGGCAGCCCAGTGCCAGCTTTGGGTGGCTGTAGCAGATGCTGGCAGTGGGAGGGAGAGGGGCCACTTTTAAATAATGCCATTTATTACCCAAATGTTTTATAAACAATATTTAGTATTAAGAACAGGTAAGGAGTCTTCCTATGGTCCAGTGCTGGGAGTTCAAGCCTTGCTCCAGATTTAGCTGAAAGCCAAAACCACTTGGCTGAGATGTAAATGTTAATGGCTGCAGCAGTCCCTCAATATGAGGATGACACTCTTCCAGTAAATGGAGCATGGCCATTCAACCTAGGATATAAAAAGCAGCTAGAC